TTTGATTCCTGATATTTGTGGGATCTTACAGTTCTTTATAAAATAAGCTTGAACAATGACTGGATGGGATATATAAATGATCATTGGAAATAACATTAAACTCATTGAGACTTATTTCTGAGGAGGCATGGATTGAGTTGTTTATATCAGTTTTTCCAGATATCCAATTCTTTGTTTTTTAAAAAGAAAATATGCGATCAAATCTCATTAACCATAAAACTGTTAATATCTGTTGTATCAGCTCTAGAAGCCCCAGTTGGTTAATTATAGGCTTATAGAACTCCTTAATGCTACAACTCGAAGTGAAGAGAGACACAGCATCAAGGAAGAGAACACTGAAATAACTCAGAAGTGAAGAGTTGATATCAGAAGGGAAAAAACTCAGAATGAGCAGAGAATGATAAAGGAGCAAAACACACAAAAAAAGGGTTTCTTCAGATATTTTCAAAATAGAAGAAAGAGAAGTGAATCCATATATCTACTACTCAAAGAGATAAAAGTGCTAACAGAAACAAAATACAGACAGAACTTTTCTTATATTTCTTCAGTCTTCTCCAAGAAGATATGCGTTCTATTAAATAAATGCAAAAAGCAAAATAAAAAAGCACAACTAAAGCTTGAGACTGATAGAAACCTGGCCTGAGAATATCCATTTACTATGAATTAGTTTAAATCTCCAGGACAAGATGAAGTACATCCTAGTTTGCTGATGGTCTGTCTGAAACCTTAAGTATCAATCTTGATAAATTCTGGAGAAGCACTGATGACGTTCCACATGACAGGAAGACAGCAAATGTTGTCCTTATCTTCAAAAAGAAAGAAAGAAAGAAAGAAAAGAAATGCAAGATCCAAGGAGCTATTAGCCAGCCAGTTTGATAGCAGTGCCTGGGAAGATTTAGAGCAGATTTTAAAGTGATTGATCTAGTGGTATAAGCACCATGGAAACAACATAGTGAGTACAAAAAGTCAGACTAATTCTTGTTTTTTAGATTGCTAACTTTCTTAGTGGATTGTGGGAATGCTATAGACATGATATTGATTTTAGCCAACAAATATTGACAATTTCCAGTGATCCCGTTAATAAATTTAGTTAAACACAGGACAGAAGAGAAACCAATTAAACTTTGAACATTGTACTCAAAATGTACCTAATATCAAGTGCTTATCAAACTCAAGTGAAGTATAGAGTAAGATGCCACAAAGTTAAGACCTGGGGCCTGCAAAGTTCAGTATTTTTATCAATGACTTAAAAGAAGTAGAGGAAACACTTGCCATACCTGCATATTTCTAATTGGAATAGGGATTGAATAGCTAATATCCTACAAGAGAGAAACCCAATTGAAAATGATAGGTAAAAAAATAAGTAAAGACAAATACAAACAACTTTTGGAAACAAGAATCAAAGTCATGCTTAAAGGAAGGAATATCTTGTTTTATAGGTATGCTTGGGAAGAAAATCTTTGAATGGTAAATAAACAAGAATTATAGGGGACTAAAAATTAAACCAGACGAAGAAATATTGAAAGATCTGGGAATGTTGAGATGGGAGAATGTGAAATCACTTTTTTTTTAATATCTGAAAGGGAGACACAGAAAAATGCCAGCAGGTTTTCTGTTGGTCCAGATGGCAAGACATGAAATATTTATGTTACAAGAAGTCAGGTTGGTTAAATGTTAGGAAAACATTACTTACAATAAAAGCACTTTGACAATGAAATTAATTGCTTAGATAAATGAAAGGATTTTTTTTTTTTTTACATGAATGCTATCACTTTCTGGATGCTTCAGTTTGATTTCCTTGTACAGAATAAAAAGTTGGACTTGATAGCCTGAATTGTCATCACTAATTCTAAGACTAAGTGGTTCTGTTCTTTGTAGCTACTTAGCAACATCAACACATTGACGTAAGAAAAGTACGGATAAATTTTTATTTCAATGGCAATGTTAATATCTCTCTCACTATTCATAATGAAAGCAATTTAGTATTCTCAAGTTAACAACATGCTGTATGACTACAAAAAGCCTTACTTTTATTTACTGTTTGGTGTTTTTTTGTATTTTGAATTAGACAAAGTACAATTAATTTTGATGATCATAAAGCTTTACAAAGTGGTATACAGTAATTAAATAAGATGTATCGTTTTACAGATTGATAAGAGTTGGATATGGAGAATGCATAGCTCTTTATCCCAATAGTTTAAAAATCATTATTTAACCTATATAATACTTAAAAGTTTAAAAATTTGAGCACAGAATATGGCTTTGAAGGCGCTTTACCAAGATAGTTAAATACCTGTCCAATGCAGCGTTTGTCAACTTTTGTAACTTTAAGATGTGTGGATTTTAACTCCCAGAATTCCCTAGCTAGTGTCCTGTGTGATACATGGTGTGAATTTTAATTGATTATATTTGCTTAGGAAAACATAATAGCTCTGCCTTAGCTGGCATCATCTTATTAGAGACATTTATTAAATTTAACAAGCATTTCTATGCCAGTTCTCCTTGCAAAGAATTTTGAGCACTGCGACTTACGTGTCAAAGGAGAGAGGTCTATTAATGAAAAATGCTTGCCACTTGTATTATTTATAAGTATTTGTATTCTCCAGAAAACAAAAAAAGTTATAAAATCAATGAAAAGGAACATTTTTTTAGCCAAAGAGGAGGGTTCCCCCCCATTCAATTAATTGGCTAAAAAGATGCCAATATTTTTTTAAAAATCATTAAAATGTAACAAATATCTGAAAATATTTGGAAAATGTAAATGATCAGATAAGAAATAATAAAAAAAAACTAACCAAGAATTAAATCTCTGTGTAGGTGCAGAATGCCATTTTTTATCAATACATGGTCAACTGCACAAGCTTATGTGTGCCACATAGTGGGTGTGGATATGGTTACAAACCCACCATAGCCTTTTGCTTATCAATTAATCCTTGGTAGAAATTGGCTGGTTCTAATGGCTGGCTATTGCATGTGAACAATTCATTATTTCATTCATGAATTTTTAAACAAATCCTTTCAAATTAAACAAATCTTATGAATTCAAAGCATATGGGAATTTGGTGGAGTTTGTTTAATGGGTTTTATTATATGGTGGATTTGTATTTTTTTTTAATTTTGTAAGCTGCCTGGAGTCATATAAGTGTGAATTGGGTGATTATATAAATTTGTTTGATAAATAAAATAAATATCCTCTATTGCAAATAGCTAAAGACTATTTGTAGACTGCTAGATTGAATCCATGATGAGTCCAGATCCTTCCCAACTCATAAATGTGGATATTTAACAATTCTGAATTGTCTCTGCATGCTTTTATTTAGTTTCAAGATTATGGGCATCTCCCTACTCTATTTGTGATGAGGATGTGCTGTAATATGTCACCTTCCTTGCCAAAACATTTCTGTGTTTTTTTTAAAAAATGATATTAATATCCTTTTCTGTCAGTGGATCTTAGAGCTAGCCAGAAGAAAAGACTTTCAGATGGACATTTCATTGTATGACTTTCATTTCATCCAGATTCTTCCAATAAGTTTGGAGTTCAGTTGGAATTGAATTTGTAGCTATTTTAACTTTTCTGAAAGATTTGCACCCCAAAGAAATAGTCATAAAAGTTCATATGTCCTGGGTTTATAGTTTAGGCTAAATAGGAACTCCACCCAAACCAGTAATTTTTTTGATGGAGGACAATATCTTTTAATTAACTGTGCCATCAGTCCAGAACTGATGCCTATTTATGATGCAACCATGATAGCATCTGGTGCGGGATGAACAGAGCTGACTTGCTCCCATTTGAAATAATACTCATTGGATTAGATTCATGACCACTTTAGATTTTTATACTTCTACTCAGAGTCTGATTATCTGAATATTGAAGCCACTTCTAGGTATCCTAAAATTATTGTTTTACAATTGTACAATACAACTTGGGTTGCATATTTTCTTTTTGTTCTTTATGAAACGTGAGATGAACATTCTGCATCATTGATGTCAACTTTTCTTTTTCAGAGCTTCTTCAACCATAAATCTGATTCTTTTGCATAATTTATTCTGTTCACTTGCTTAACAGAGAGGAACAAGCAACTATTCATGAAATGGAAAATATATCAGAATTCTACATAGCTTCAAAGATATAACTAAGCATTTCCAATAATCTCATAATCTAGGTTAATCCCCTTCCTTCTTTTTCCCCTGTTTGGAATATAAATTGTTTAGATAATGGTCCCAAGAAGATTGTTGGTCCAATGACTGGGTTTAAATTCTTTGGTCATTTAAGAAACTGAATATTAATGCATGTTGATATATCAACCTTAAGCATGACATGGGAATACAGATCTTATAATTAATGAGCTATTTCAGCAGTGAAAGGTACTGACGTTTACCTTCTGTTAAAATTTATAATGATTAAGAAAGTTTGGTAAGAAAGTTAAACAAAGAAGATTAAAAGTTCTTGTAGCAAAGTCATAGTTCTACAGCAGTTTTATCTATCTAGAGAAGTTCAACTTCTGAGTTATGGGAGTTGGACTTCAGCTCCCATAATCCTCCATCCATTGGCTATATTGGTGCTCAACTCCTGATAATTCCATAGGCATGTTTAGGCAGTTTTCTCAGCAGACAATGCAATTTTGGTACACATTCCTAACCACAGATCTAGAGGAATCCACTAAAGTGATCAAGTGCCCAGCCAACAATTATATATATTTTCCTTAAATTATCCTTTAGCTGGTATATATGTAAATGCTTCATTTCTCATTCCTAGGGATGCCCCATTTTATCTTCTTTAAATTAATAATCTATCTCTTTCTTGTCATGATGTTGCTGTTTTTCCTTACTTTATGCTCTATTTTCATTCCTTGAGTTATTACATACAATTATGTATAACAAAATCCTGACTTCAAGACCGATCATTTCAGTAGGAATCTTTTTCTGGGTAAAGTTATACCCAATTCATCAAGAAAACACTATAAAACTGAAATCAAAATAAATACAGTCTGCTTACTTACCGGTACAATGTCATAGGCAAAAAGTCCATACTCTCTATCTGGTGAAACTTCATATTTAATAGCTTTTATAGACACCTGAAAAATAAAACAAAATCCAGCATCTCAAATAAATACATTCTAATATTAATTTAATTTAATATATTTGCCAATCATCTCGCTATGAGATGACTCTGGGTGGCTTACAGAATTAAAAAGAAAAAACATACACAAAAATATGCATATAATAAAAACAAAACACTGCAAAAATACAAAATATAATTTAAAAAAGAGTTAAGCTTGCATAACTCTTGCCACATTCGCAACGTATTGGTATGTTTCCTAAAACTTGTAAATATCTGCTTTATATTTTGATCCATCTTATAAGAGTTAATAATTGCTTCATATGTAAAGTCCTTGGGGTTGTAATTGTCAGCCCAAAAAAAAACAAAAAAAACCAGGCTCACATTTTTGCATTTAGTATAATGGATAATGCACAGAACTCACAACGTGTGAGATAAAGGTGTAAAATATAGGTAGCTAGAGAAAGTTAACTATGAAGTTAAATAAAAGAATATAAAATTTGTGTTTTTAGTCAGTAAGAAACATCTAAGAATGCTTGACCAGGAAGGTTTTATATAATTGTCCCAGAGTGCAAGATACAGAATAAGAATCTTAATTTCTAGGATGGTGGATTCCAGTTAAATGAGAGCAAACAATTCTTAATAAAAAAGCAATTTAATAATGGAACCAATTATCTAGCAAGGTTATGGTCCTCCTCTTCCTGGATGTGTTCAAGTGAAGTTAAACAGCCATCCTCAGGGAGTCTTTATTTTTGGATTCTGGAACTGAGCAAAGATGAGACTTATTGGTCAATGTTAATGTTTCTCAACCTTGGCAACTGTAAGATGTGTGGATTTCAGCTCCTAGAATTCCCCTGCCAGGAAATGGGGGCTGTGGAATTCTGGGAGCTGAACATCTCTTCAAGTTCCCAAAGTTGAGAACCATTGTCTTACGTCAGTGGTTCTCAACCTTTCTAATGCTGTGACCCCATAATATAGTTCCCCATGTTGTGGTGACCCCCAACCACTTATACATCATCAGGTGCCAGGAGCGTGGCCAAAGAAAAGGGGGAAAAATGGCAGACAGCCTTGTTTGGTGACCCCCCTGAAATGGTCGTTCGACCCCAAATGGGGTCCGACCCACAGGTTGAGAACCACTGTCTTACGTGATCTCTATGGTAATGTAAATATTGCAATAAATAAATAAATAAATAAATAAATTGGGGACATTCTAAATTTCTAATTGAATTAGAAATAGTGTAGCAATAGCAATAGCACATAGACTTATATACCACCCATAGTGCTTTACAGAATTCTCTGAGAGGTTTACAATATCAGTATTATTTGCACATATTCCTGTAGAGAGAAATTTCCTGAGGATGAGCTCCAGTATGAGTCCAAAAGCTCAAACGACCTCTGGTCCCAATGACCAACCCAGATTGGATCCTGCAATATTATTTGCATATTGCCCCCAACAATCTAGGTCCTCATTTTACTGACCTCTGAAGAATTGAAGGCTGAGTCAACCATGAGCATATCAGGATTGAACTGCTGGCAGTGGGCAGAGTCAGCCTACAATACTGCATTCTAACCACTGTACCAGTAAATTTCTTGCAGAATTTATCATAATCTCCCCAGTGATCTTTTGGTGGGGAAAAAACTGAACTATATCCTTTAAGTCTTATTTTTTAATGTTAGAGGGTTTAGGCTGAGTTCAGCAATTGTGAGAAACACATGTCACTTGGACCCTGTTTTCAAAAGAAACTCACAACACGAAGACAAACAGGTGGGAAGAGATGCATGTATTCCTTTTTTAAAAAATAAATAACTTAATATTTTTCTTAGCCTATTCTGTTTGAATCCTGGCTCTCCATTTTACAAAAAGAAGGAATTATATTGTTTACTGGAAGTGCTTAGCTAAGAATATTCACAAATCTTAACTTCAATTTAAGATTATCTGGGATACTACACATCCTCTTCACAACCTGTTTTCTTTGTTACCTTCTGGGAGGAGGCTTCGTGGTATCCGAAGCAGAACATCCAGATTCAGCCAAAGTTTCATTCCATATAGCATTAACCTTGCGAACTCTCAAGCTTCCTCCTTCCGTTATATATTCAAGACGGACAATATTTAATATTTATTTGCTATGTATATGTAGGGATGTGGGTCTATACATATGTTGTTCATAATATGTTTAGGTGTGTGTCATGTATGTGTTTCACTTTGAGAGCTGGCAACTAAATTTCATTTTTGACATGTGCCATTGTGCCCATAGTATAAAAATGACAATAAAGGTTATCTTATCTTATCTTATCTTATCTTATCTTATCTTATCTTATCTTATCTTACCTTACCTTAAAATAGAATAGAATAGAATAGAATAGAATAGAATAGAATACTTCATTGGCTAAGAATGATTGGACACACAAGGAATTTGTCTTCAGTGTCTAAGCTCTCAGTGTACATACAAACACACACAAATGTAAAACATATATGAAAATATATGTTTATTTTTCAGTGTGTTTCAATCAGAATATTCAACTTCTGTACAAGTAATTGAAGGCACGTTCTTTCTTAACCTCTGAGACAGATAGATGTGCAACTGTGTAACCTATTCAAGAAGATACTCACAATTATTTTGTTTTCTATTAAAATTGTTGAATGGTTTGTTTCCACATTGTGCACTATCACTGAGCCATTCCGGTCTCTATAAATGAATTCTGTATCTAAAAGAGGAGAGAGAACAGAAGAAGAGGGTGATTTATATCTATCACATATGGGCCAGAGGATAATTAAGAGAGGACCACAGCTTATTGGCAAAACATCTAGCTTAACAGGTCTACATTTATTACTTGCCAGATTTACATTTATTACTTGCCATTTACAACAAAGAGGATCAAAAAACAGAAGAGGAGAATTTTGGGGGGGATACTAGGAAAAGGAATTACCAAACAAAATAGAAATTTTTGATTATAACTTTTCTGAACTAGGATGATAGCTTCCTTTGCTTCTGAGAGGACCAGTCCCTCTTCATGCTAAGGAGAGAACTAACCTATGCTTAGAAGGCACTGGATAATGTCTAACATAGAGAAACATCTTCAATTCTCGTGATTGCAGCTAGCATCAGAGTCACAGAGGGGTAGATTTGATATTTTAAATCAGGTATATACTACGTTTTTAAAACATATCATTATCACCTACTTCCAACAACATATACAGCCGAAATTATTAAGCAAACTGATTGTTTCTGGTGGGTTTTTTCCCCTAGAAATTGGAAAAATACTGGTTTCTGGCAAAAATGTCACAAATTGTGATCACTTGACTGGGGAACATTGCAAACAGCCATAAATGCAGGCCTGTTGCCAAGAGTCTCAAATATGTGATTCCATGAATATTCTGATCCCATGAAAATTCAAATCCAGGATATTTTTGTGTCCATTGTACCTTAATTGGTTGCTAAGCAAATGGTTGTACCTCAAGGATTACCTATAAACGGCATTAAGGTAATTTACTTTCAGATTGCAAAGGGACTACAATTGCTTTTTCCAAGATGTATTTCAACTTCTCAGTCTAGTATGCAACCCTGAGATTTCTTGGTATTTTCCCATCCCAGCATTAAGTAGGCCAAAACCTACTTAAGCTATTTTGTGATAAACCAGAGTTGGCTAGGTACTTTTAAACTGATACCAATTTTAAGGGAAATTTCATATTGTATAGCTATGCTACAAAAATTGTTGGAAAAGCAAGCAACCTGCAGAACAACTGATAATATATACATCATGGTTTTAGTTCTGGCTGATATCAAAACTCTCCTAAATCTGTTCGGATACTGTGTTTAATTATTTTGTACATATGGTGTAATAATATTCCTGGCCTCACCTGAGACTTCAGCACTGCTCACTTTTTAAAATACTTTCCCTAATCGTAGCATTCTCCACATGTTTGAATTTCAACTCCCAGAATTCATATCAAAAGCTGTTGGTGGCTCAGGACTTCTGGGAGTTGAAGTTCACAAATATCAAGACAATGCCTAAGGTAGGAAAGCTGACTTTAGATAACATACAGGATTTACACCTAAGGACAGTCTCTTGGAGTGAAAAAAATCCATGCCCCTTTGTTATATTCTGAGAAATAAAGTCCTTTTCTAAAGATTTCATTGCTTTTGAGAGGTTAATAATGCGTAATCCTATCCTGTCTTTAAATAGGTGAAAAGCAAAAAAAATTAAACTAGCATTGATTGGTTGGTTCTGCTGGTACAGTCAATTCACGTCATCAGCAAAGAGTTAAAATTTAATGAAGAACAAATTGGCTTGCTTTAAAGAAGCCAAAATTGATTGGCTTCATGACCCAACAGAAAACACAATAAGCCTTTGCTAGTCTCTAAGTCCTGTAATCATCTCTTCAGAATCAATGAATAATAGCTCTCTGTTTGTGATTTGAAATGTATGATTCATGTTATTGAAGCTGTATTCATTTTCACCAGGCGTCCCTCAATCAAAGACAGAAAGCAATGCAGCAGCCTTTGTCTGCAAATGAATTCTGTCCAGAAGGCTGATGAGAATTTCAGTCTGATTTATAGCTGACATCAAAGCTGATAAAGGTCATCACTGAATTTCATTTTTTTTACTGCTTCCAACTATTTGGAGCTTCAAATGCTCACCTTTTTAAGTAACAGTTATTTATTCCAGTTTGTATGGAGTAGACCACAAAAGCTCTTAACTTGACTGTTTTTCTCACTTTCAATTCCAGGGACAGGGACAAAAAAAATCTATATCCAACATTAGCAGGTGCTTTTAACACCAGAATGTATTTCTCTGCATACCTAGCAGAGAAGCATTTCCTTGTGATGGCAGGTCCTTGTATATGGAATGTCACTCCAAGGAGAAAGATTTCTGAAGGCTATTAAATAGGACTGCTGGCAGAAGGGTGAAAATACTGCAAACGCGGAAACTCTACTGTGTATTCCCATGTTCTGTTCCTCCTCAAAGAATGATTTCATTTATTGATGTCTCCCTTGTCTGATGATGTGAGGTGAATTATGGGTACGAGAAAGGCTCCCTACAAAATGGACCATGACAAAGACCCATGACCAACAAGAATTCATTCAAGTTTTCTTCATGTTGTCTGCTGCCTCCATGCAAATGTTATCTTTGTCCCTTCCTTGCAAATATTATTCATCTGATGAAGATGAGAAGACCTTGACTAGCATAATAAGAAACAGGCTTTCTTTTGCATGACCAAAACTAAAATGTGGCAGAAATGCAAAGCACCAAGTCCAACATATTTTTCAGGGTGGAAGTGGCAACCGAATAGGCTTGTATGTTATCAACCCTGACTTGAGTTCATTGGTAGACTGAGATTCAAAGAGGATATGAGTCTATATTTGCAATCTGAGGGCAAACTTTGAGATTTGATGAGAAAAAGATTCTTTCCTAGATTCTAATGGGGAAGCATCATTTCTGGCTGCTTCATATTTTGAGGAATGGAAAATCAAAGAGATGGATGGAAGATCCTTTAGAAGACATTGTTTAGTTTCAGCTGGATATCTTCAAGGGTTTTGGTTGAAATATTTTCCCTGCACCTCTTTTTGGCTGACCAAAAAGTAACAATTTTCGAAATAGTCTAACTTAGGGGTTCCCAACCCCCGGTCCGTGGACCAGTACCAGACCGTGGCATGCCAGCAACTGGTCTGCACAAACAAGCAAAGCCTCATCCGTGGGATATAGGCAGCACACAAAACCATGCCCCCTCTGGTCCATGGAAAAACCTCTTTCCATGGAACCGGTCCCTGGTGCCCAAAGGTTTGGGGACCTCTGGTCTAACTTATGCTAAATTAATTTATTTTATTTTGTTTTATTAATAAAATTTATATGCTGCCCAATCCCTAGGGACTCAATTAATTGTAATTAATACAAATTACACTTTCAAAATATGATTAAAAGGCAAGATCTTACTTTTCCACATGCATTTCTAAAATGTCAGATTTGGCATGTTGGAGAATGACTAGTGATTGCCACTATTGTGCTGCCTCTGATCATTAGATTACATGGGATGATAAGAGGGCTGACATAGCCAATTGGCCAGACACCCCACCTTGGAAAAGAACACCTCATCAGCAGGGAGATTTAATTGTGACAGATTTCTGGCTTGTTGATATTCAACATTAGATAGCAGAAGCAGATGACATCAGCATAGCAGAAGGGCTTAAATATCTATTATTGATAGAGGAGAATATTTGTAGCTCAGAGTTGAAACAAGTTCCTTGATGCCCTCTGAGATTGGTGGTTTTCTTGCAGACGTTTCATTACCAAAATTGGTAACATTATCAGTGCTAGTGGGGAAAGGGGTTTATTCTCAATTTATATTCTAGTAGCTTGCCCTGTTACTGGTTCTTGGGTGGTTCTTTGTTTAGGCTGTTTACTGTTCTTTTTTGGCAGTTCATTGGTTAGGGTATTTATTTCTTGACTGTTGGTCTGATGTCAATCCTGATGTTAATCTATGCCCATCTAGGTATTGATTTCTGGTGGGGAGATGTTTTGATCTTTTTGTTCCCCTTTTGGCTTGTTGATTGTCTCATTTGCATGGTATGTATATGTTGGTTACATCTATCTGTTTACTGATGGTCAATTTGTCAGAGTGCCAGGCTGCTAGGAATTCTCTAACATTTTTGGATGGTCATCTTAGAGTAAATTTGATCCCAAACTGCATTCTAGACTGGTCAGCCTCAAGCCAATATTTAGAAAGGAAAGAGCTGAATTAAATTTAATTTAATCAGGAATTTCAGCAATGCAAGCATGGGAGTGTAATGTTTCATTAGTTCAAGAGAGAGCAAAATTAAAATCTGTAATTAAAAAAAGCTGAAAGATAAATGATGTCCAACAGAATGTTAGCCACTCTGGAAGGCCACTCATGGGCAAAGCACTGAATAAGGTAATAAATCTTATTGGTCAGGTGATCGTGGCACCATCAAATAAGTCACTACATGACCCAACCCCTTTTATCATTTTCTCTATATGGAATTGGAAAGTTGGCAGCTCAGGTTTGAGACCTGAGCGCCACATGATGGGATGAGCTCCTTTCCTCGCCCCAGCTCCTGCCAACCTAGCATGCAAATGCAAGTAGATAAATAGGTACCACTTCGGTGGGAAGATAACAGCGCTCCATGATGTCATGCTGGCCACTTGACTGTGGAAATGTCATTAGACAATGGCCTGGAAACAGAGATGAGCACTGCCTCCTATAGGCGGCAACTACTGTACTAGCAAAGTAAAATCTACAGGGATTCCTTTTTACTTATATGGAACTGAAGTTTGTCTCTGACCATCTCAGAACTAGCAAAAAGATAACAAATCTAGAAAATGCTTTCAAAGCTTAGGAAATGCTTTAAAGTCATCTGATTTGATTTACTGCCTGAAAACAGGTCCACATCTTGACCCATAAATCTGTTTCTGGGGAGTGATGCATTGAAACATGATAAATTCATTGCACTCTGTTGACATTTCCCAGAGTCTAAAATATTGTATCCTGCATGAATTCTGGGAGTTGAAGTCCACAAGTCTAAAGTTGTCAAGGTTGGAGACACTTGATTTAGAGGACACCTGATTACCTATTCTGATTTAGGCCTATTAAAATCAGCATCTTACTCCTTCTCTCCACACAATTCCCCATATTTTCTGTGAAGGTGAAATAGTAATTAACATAGAACATAAATACATAAGTCGTAACC